CATGTATGCATTAAACATAGCATATGAGTAGAAAAATATAATTCAGTTTTCAAATCTCAAATGTTTTTAGAACTCATAGTATAAATAAAAGGGGAAATAAGACCGATAGATATTAGAAAGTAGGCAGATACATCTTTTTCAAATGGGGAGGGAATTAAGACTGGGTGGGAGAGGGAAGGAGTTGAAAAAGGAATTAAGCTGTGCTATGTACATCGCCCAGCTCCCCACAAAGAGAGTAATCATTCTGCACAGCAAGTATGTACTAATAAAAATAGAAACTGGAAAAATGAGCAGGATATTTTAAGGTAAACTCACATTTACTAAAGGTAAAATAATATATTGATAAGATTCTTATATGATAATCTATAAAAATTAGCATTTAATTAAAACATTTTTATGGAGAAGAAAATCACATTGATAGAAGACAAACATGGCTCATAAGCTTAGAAATATATTCATATTTTCTACTATTAAGAAAAAGGCAAAACAAAACAACTAATGACTAATTATGTCCAATAACCTGAAGATACTAACAATGTAGAAGGCCAAAGTTGACTCAGGAAAGGATAAACTGGACCTCAACATTTCTTGTGAATTGTATGTCACTATATTATTATCATTTTTTATTATTATAATAATTATTATTATTATTTGGTACTGAGAATCGAACTCATGACCTTACTCTTGTCAGGCAGGCGCTGTGCCACTGATTTATATCCTTGCCTATCTCTAGATATTAAAACCTAAATACATTTACATACATTTGACCTAGGGTTATGATTTGTGTTTAACTGGTCCATAGGTTGAAGGCTTGCTCATGGCTTATGGGTCTGTGGGAGGTGGCCAACCTCTGAGAAGAGCGACCTCTTTGCAGGAAGACCACACTGGGATCCTAGTGCCTTTCTTGATTTCTCACGGCCATCTTGAGATGAACTGGTTTTGTGGCTCATATGATACACTGCCTTGCCAGAGGCCCAAAGGCAACATGCTAAGTCACCGTGGACTGAATCGTCTGTCTGAACATGGGCCAGAATAAATCTTCCTTTTAAACTGATTATCTCAAGTATTTTGTGATGGAAAGCTAACCTAGCACATCTAGTTCTAGTAGTGTATCCTGGAGAAATATGCTGTTATGTTTAAAAATACAACCACAGTGCATTTTAATTTGTTAAAAACAGCTGCTGGAATTCATTGATTCATTCAAACTTCGATATATATTATAAAATCAGTATACAGAGAACTGTTAGTGTTGTAATACTATTTTCCTCTTCTGGAATATTAAGTTCTTCTCTATTTATTTATAATTTTTTTAGGTAGAATAATAGCTCCAACACATTTTTCAATAAAGATGTTTACGGTTTAAGTTGTTATGAATTCATCTTTTTCATTATTTTTAATATTAGAATTTTTTGAAACAGTGAGTCATACCAAAGAAATGTCAGTAGGTACTTTGGTTTGATTGGATTTTACAGGCAGACATATAATGATAATTTGACTTTGTCTTTTCAAAATATTTATAACCTGTATGTGGCTTTCTTACCTAACTGTATTTTGTGTAACACCTTCAGGAGGATTTTTAATATAAAATAAGAAGTAGTCTTGAATTTTAGTGCCAGGAATTAGCACTGAATTTTATTGAATGATTTTTTATCTCTATTGAGATAACAATGTGCTTTATTATTTTCTCAAGCTGACAAAAATATTAAATTACAAAAATAAAATATCCTTACCTCACTAACTTAACTTTTTTTTTTTTTTTTTTTTTTTAACTAGATTGCTATTAGCACAGGCACTCTAATTCGAAGAATTTAACAGTGGGAATTTATTAACCTTGTAACAACTGAGGAACTTGTTGGCCTTTTAAATCAATCTAGTTTATAAGAAATAAAGACAGTGTGTTCCCTGAATGTTTGAATGAAACAGTTCTTACCACAAAAATATTTAGAACTAAGATCTTTAAGATGTATTTCTTATTTTATTTAAGGATGTTTATAATGTTTTAACTTCTATTTATTTTTAGGTTTCCCATGAATCAACTTTAGATGCATATATTTTCCCTGAAAATTATCTATATTATTAAGATTGAAACATTGAACCACAAAATTTGGAGGTTTATATTTTCTTAATATTCTCCTTTTAAATACTTGTTTCTGTGGTTACAATTTACATAACTAGGATATTTTGTCCTCTTTTCTTAATTAGATTTGCCCATAATTTATTTATCTTATTGGATTTCACAGAGAACCAGCACATGGATTTATAAATTAGTTTGGCTTTTTATTTTCCATTGCATTAATTTTCTTGTTTATATTTTTACTTTAAGAACTCCTTTCTTTTGTTTTTATGGTTACTTTATATTTGCCACTATTTCTCCAGATCCTTCGTACATCTTTATTTATTCTTCTTTAATAATAAAAAAATTGAAGTTTTGTGTTTTCCTCAGAGTAATCTCAGCCACATTCCATTTATTTTGATGTGTTTTCTTGTTGTTATAATTAGTCTATGACTGGAGTTTTGATTTCTTCTTGCAGATAGAGTTATTTAAAGAGGTTTTCTTAATTTTGCTGTTCTTTGATTTTTTTACATTAATTTCAAAATTTATTGCACTGTGCTTAAAGATATTAGCCTACAAAAATTTTTCACTGTTTGGAACTAAATTTTCTTGCTTAGAATATAGTAATTTTAACTATATTTTGTATGGCCTTTAAAGTGTTATTTTTATATATCAAATACTATGTACTGAATTGTATCTCTCAGATTCATATGCTAAGAGTCCTAATTCGTAATGTGACACCCTGGGAGACATGGCCTTTTGGAAATAACTGAGTCTGGGTGAGGTCCTGAGAGTAAGCAGGCGCCTTGATCTTGGATTGCCCAAGCTTTAGTACTTGCAGCCTTTCTAAAACTATGAGGAAATGTATTGCCATAATTGGTGTCATCCAGGGTGTGCCATTTTGTTATGGCAGCCAAACAAAGTAAATGGGAATGTCTAGCCTTCTGAGGGCAGATGGCATGTGACTCTGGAGAACTAGTAATGTGACTGTACAAGATTGTAGATCTTTAGCATTATTATGTCTATGTTAGAGATTTTTTATGACTCGATTCTAGAGTGTTGGAGTGGAACCTGCAGAGCAGACAACTGCAGGCTGTGTAGGGGAGGGTACTAACCCCTCCTCTTGTGCCTATTACGCATGTTTGAAATAAAACCCATATGTATAATAGATTTAACATGTATAGCTTTGTTACTTATGTACATTTCGTATACAATATATTTTATAAGTAGCTCAAGACAGTTCCACTCACTGTGGACCAAGCAAGCAAAAATATTGGAAACCCATGAACAAAGGCATCCAGTTTCCTGATTAAGCTGAATTGTTCTGTTGTGCTACATGACTTCTGTTTATTTCACCAGAAAATATTAAGAGGTGCTTTTTAAAATTGTTAATATGAAGAACATGTTGAAGGAAAATGAAGAATGGAGAGACAGGAGTGTAAGAACACTGGAAGACAGAGCTGTACTAAAGATTAATAAGTAACTTGACCTCAGATTCAAGTGTGCCCTGGGGAGCACACTTGAGTCAATGTTGAAATATAACCGACTGATTTGTATGCTACTGTTCCCTGTTAATACAATCCGAAATGGGCAATGTCTAGATTAAAACTTCAAAGACTCTTGTGGAGGAACAGTGGGAAAGTTACTACATAAAAGTGCTGCTGGGGCTATGGAAAGTTAAAACCAATCAGGGGATTTAGAAAAGTCTAGGAGAAGACCTAGACCTAGATCAGAAAAACTGGGATGATAAACCTATTACAATATCAAGAAGATAAAAAATAAACCATTAAGGATAGTCGGGCAATCATAACATAGAAAAGCTGTATGTGTAAAAGAGATTCATGGGTAATTATAGAAATATTAAGGATGTTTTAGTGAACACACTGCATTAGAATTAGGTGAGCAGTATATAATTTCTCTCTCAACTCAGCTGTGCTATTCTTTTTTTGATGCAAAGTGACAAGATCACAATCTCACTACCTTAATTACTTGAATGTTTGTACATCCTTCCCAGCTGTTGCTCATATGTGTACACTGAGCTGTATTTTTACTTTATACGGTGAAGAGTGTAGTTTTAATTGGAAGCTGGGAACATGCCTAGGGCCAAGAAAGAAGTGGATTTTGTTTTTCTGGTAATCAAAGAGTCTGGATGAAATAGCTCTGTATTTGTAATGGGATGAAGAATAGGTCAAGATTGATTATTTTAAAAATTGATGACAAGATAAGACCACCCACAATGAAACAATGAAAAGTTTAAAGTAATTTCATACTGCTTTACTGATGGAATTGAATCATGTACTGTATCTAACTGAGTGGTGCATACTCGTGTACCTTGAATTCTCTTGCAAAATGCAGTTCATGCACTGGAATTCTCTAGCTCTGGAAGAAATGAATACTTTTTCGGAGGTCTCAAACAAGTATCAAACTGCAGGATACATGGAATGGAATGGGAAGTATCAGAGAAAGAGAGGAGGAAAGATGTATCTTAACCTCAAGAGTCGCCACAAAGCTGTCCAAGGCAATTATGATAATAATGAACTTCAATATTCTGTTTAAAAGTTCATCACAAAGACCATAATTATTTAGTGTAATTCATGTCTCTTACTAATTAATTGATCAATGTATCTAATAAATATTATAGAATTCTTTCTACATGGCAGAACTCTGCTAGGCACTGGAGAGAGAGAGAGCGCAATAAAACATGCTTCCTTTCTTGCAGAACTGCAGAAACACAGTAACATCACAATGTGAATCAGAACAGTTAATTATATTATGATCAGGTTTGCAGAATTTCTGAGGTCATAAATTAACTCTATGATAAAGACGAGATTCCTTATTTCTTGTTTCTGAGCTCAATATGATTTCTTCACTAGCAATGCTGCCTGCTATATATATTAAATGTGAACAAATTAATATTAGGAAAATTATTATTTGAAAATCACCAAACCTGGACGCAGTTGGATTGACACTTCCCCTGGTGTCACCTGGGTGTTAATTTCATCTTCATTGGGTATAATGACTTGTACAGATGGGTATTCTATGGACTCCACTGAACAGCCTTTACTTATTAAATTGGAAACAATATCACAACGTTCGCTTCTTGATCCACCTGAAATGAAATCCTGTTTAAAAGAAGGAAAATCACTGATTTTTTAAAAACTGCACATCATTTCAGTTATAACCAAAAAAATCAAAGGTCGAAAATACTGCCACGACATCATTTCCAGTGTAGAATAAATTATGCAGCTGTTTAAAATAGCTGCATGTTTCCAGTAAGAGTGCTGGCAAATTTGTCACAAATAAAACTTAAGTTTCTAAATCTCATTTAAAGGAAGAAAATGAATTATTAAAGGGGAGATTTAAACCAACCACTTTTAATGCTAAGTGAGCACTGTAAAATTATGTCAATTTGATTCTTTCTAAATACTCTATTTCAGAAAGATATTTCCAAAAGTGTTTAGCCAAAATAGATTATTCATTGCATCCAAATGTGAGTCTCAGTTCTCAAAAAATTAAATTGGTATGTTTATTATGTATTGCTGTGTTTAAAATCTGAGAGCTAGTCTTTAGAAATCATATGCCTAATTAAATACTGAAAATTCATCATAGAAATTTAATGCCTTAGGCCATAAACTTGCCAAACTTCTTATACATACAACAGCCTATAAATGATTCAATAAACTAAGAAAAATGATAAGATGGAAAGATATAAGATTAGAGCTCAAATTATTGTGACTTGGAACAGATTCTAAAACTTACCATCATTCAGCATTGAATAGCTAATAGGTATCGAGGACCTACGCAAGCAACCTGGAATTAATGAAATATTTTAATTTTTTCTAACTCAGAAAAAAATAATATTTTTTATGTAACCATTCTTATTTTTCCCTAAGAATAGAAAATGTATTGAAAAGTATGTATATATATATATATATATATATATATATATATATATGTATTTGTTTGTTTTGAGATGGGGTCTCACTATGAAGTTTAGGCTGACCTTGAACTCAGTATGTAGCTCAGCGTGGCCTTCAATTTGCAGTGACCCCCCTGCTTCAGCCTCCCAAGTGCTGGGATTACAGATAAGCACCACCACATTTGACCATGTTTTACCTTCTATCTTGTTGCTGTAAATTATTTGGGATGTATGCTTATCTAGGAGCTGGATATTTGCTCTGTGCTCTTCATGATAGTGGCTATTTCGATTCCACATTAACTCATTTCTCTTTTATTTTGGATAACTCACAGGACTAGTTTTTAATCAGTTAATCATTCAGTGAAAGCATGTTAAATTCTTGCTCACGGGCCATACTCTGTCAGGTGCTATGTATGTGAAATACAGCAAGGAAAATTGAGTCCTTATCATTAAAATCAGTAGGACACAGGTGATTTTAGTCACTAACCAGGTAAACAGAGTTAGAATAAGAATTAAATTTAGGATGTTCAGAATGCCAAGAATTATATAGATGGGACCATCAAGTTGATGTGAACATGAAGGTTGAGTATGAGGTCACTAATGAAAAACAGGGACATTCTGGCACAGGTACCAGCTAGCATGATGGTATATAAATAATGTGGAGCTCTTCAGAGAAAGATGGCAAATACCTGTACAGTATGAGTCACGTTTGTCCAGAGAGCTGCAAGCTAAATTGGAAGACCCATGTCTCCCAAATGCAGGAAACTCTGAGAGTATGCGAGGCTCAGTACGTGTGGACTGATTCATGACTCACATGCCTTGTCACAAACGACCGTGTGCATTGCATGGATGTAAATGCCAAAGATTTCAAATCATGGAAAAGAAATAATGTACCAACAGCTTTAAATTTTCTGGTCAACCAACCAGGCAGGCTATTATTTGTGTATACAGAATGGAGAAGAAGAGGGGAGGTTAGTTTACTGTAACCATGCAGCAAGCTATGTCATGTGATCTTGAAACGTCAAACAGTTTTGCTCGCTTTGTCAAAATATTCTCAATTATTTCGCAATGTCTGAATCAGCATGGCTGTTTTTACTCCACTGTAAAAGCCAACTCAGGAAAACATTGCCAACAGGCCAATCAGGTTTGAAAAGGGAAGAAAAGACCCGTGACATCAAACTTAAGAATGGAATGCTGCTCCTACCCCTTGTGGTCTACTTTTCACTTTGTATAAAAGAAAAGCAATTTGAAACCGCACCCTCTTAGTTTTTTGTATTTTGTGCCATTTTACTGTGTTCTAATCCTTATGTTTTTCCTTTTTCTACAAGAAAAACAACACACAGGCAACTTTTTGAATCTAGAACCTAGTTGACACTGAAAAGTCCCAGATGAAGTCACTGAGGCTGGCTTTGTATGCTTTATTATTTTTATTCATTTTAATATAATGTTATGGTGACATAGTAAAACAATATTTTTTCTCTGATTTCTGTCTGAGTCCTGGGGACTTCCAAACACTGCATCCCGCACAGAAGTGGAAGAACTTTGTCGTCTCCCGTTAGACAGTGAACGTCTTTCTTCTCATAGTTTAGGACAGTGGGGACATATCTATACATGTGTGCTGCAACAGGCTGCTTGTATCAATGAACTTTTTAGGTTTGCCATCACTGATTTAGGATAACTATCCTTTGGAGTTACCCTCTGAGCTTCTATGAAACCTGTCAGATGTATCAGTCAAAAAGAGAATTCTTCAAAATGTAATATACCTAGCATAGGTGTTAACAAGAGATATGAGAAATTGACGTAGGTACTGGATAAGATCTTTTCATAGTCATTTTCTGAATACTTTTACGTAGCATAAAAGAAAAGGGAAAACAAGATATGGAATGGCAGATTAACATGCTGCATAAGAACCCAAGCAAACTCAGTATACCCTGTGTACAATTTTTAGTGATATTTTTACTTTGGACAAATTTTGAAAATTATGAAGCAGGTTTATTTTGTTACTATTCTTGTCATGGAAAGAAGAAACTTCCTTATCCTTCTTTTTTCTTCCAGCCTTGCTAACTGTGAAATAAGACACCAGTTATGTCTGTGCTTCAGTGATGGATGATCTTCCAAAATTCAGCAGTACCTTCTGCCTGCTGATGATGTCAGGTCTGCCAGCAGGAAGAGCCAGGCCCTTTCCTTAGAGCTCAAATTATTGTGACTTTGGAACAGATTCTAAAACTCACCATCATTCAGCATTGAATAGCTAATAGGTATCGAGGACTAGGTATCAGTGATGTGCATGATAAAGGAAGCCATGTCCAAGCATGCTTCTCCTGAGGTTGTGCCACTAAGCCAGGCAATGTTCCTTGTTTCCTGAACTACACCAAAGTCTGTATAGTTGCCAGTCTCATATCTTAAGCAATGCCTATGTGCTATTTGCTCCTCACATGCTTCACTATATCTTCACAACGGTACAAGGGAGCTTCTAATATTTCTATTTTAGAGGGAGGGAAAACTGAGGTTTAGGATGATCAAGTAGCAAGTCCAAATTTACACAGTTAAAAACTGGCTGAATTAGGATTTGAATCCAAGTCAGTCTCTCTAGAGCCTGGCTTTGGAATACATAAATTAGATAGACTACATTGCATTGTAGAGAATATTCAGGGTCATGCACAACCAAGCGACTTGCTCAGTGTGTTTCTTGAGACCCCCAACTGAAAGATTTGCCACTACGGGACATAATTTGCCTCCTTCCCTTGGACAGTCACTCTTTTCTACTCATCTTTCTGAAAAACTGAAATCCCTCCTTCTGTGCCGGAACTGTTATTCCCAGAGCTGTGACTTTGTTGACGTTTTGTGAGATAGATCAAGGGACATTCTGAAATCTACCATTAAAATGACTGAAAACTAGGTTTCAAAAACACTGTTTGGAGTTCTTCCAAACTCCCCTGCCCTAAGCAGTTTCTAGCCTAGGTCAAGTTGGCTCAGAATTCAGGGTCTTTCTTGGTGATACAGTAACACTTTAAAATGCAGTACTGGGTTAGAGCTGGGAAATATTAAGCCATAAAACATTCTTAATGAAGAGAAAAAAATAGAAGTAAATTCTAAATTTGAGATTACAGAGATGACAGAAGGGAGACTCCCAGAATGGATGAGTTCTGACTTGTCCTTGACTTATCAGAGTGATGGGACTGGAGCTAGACATTCTAGAACTGGCCTTTCTGTGATCTTCATCGCCTGTCTCCAGGGATTGTGGTGAATCATTTCCTAGTGTGTGAAGGACATTGAATTTTCTCACTGATGGAGCTCAGAATATATCAAAGGACCTTTGGGGTGTCAGTAAGAAAGGGTGACCCGCATTGTGTGTGCCCTTTTCCTGCCTCTACTGTGACTTGGTCACAGAAGGAGGTGATGCCAACACTCAGTCTCTGGCTAGTTTTCTCTTTTCTTTTACCTTCCAGGGGATGTCCTAGGACAAGCAAAGGGTGGAGAGATGATGGTAAGTATAACTGAGTTAAATTAGAGGAGACAAAACCTAGAGATTTATCTCCATGTCAAACAAAAGGTCCTCAAAACCTTACCAGTTCCAGTTCCTAGAAGTTACATAAATAACTGTAAAATCACTTAAGCAATTTCGTCAAAGAAAAAAAAAAAACAATTTAGCAGAAGATTTTTCATGTAACTTTTTATATACAGGTAGCTCTAATTAAAAAGCATCCACCAAAGGGAAAAAAATCTACAGAACAAATTTAGAACCAGGAAGTAATGAATACATTATAATTGTTATACTAAGAATTTTGTCATGAGGAATTTTTTCTCTTGGTATAATACAAAGATACTAATTTTGAACAATAAGCATTTTCTAAATTATTCTTCATTCCTTGCAATTAAAAGTACACAACAACTCATGAATAGGCTCATGTGCCAAAAGAAAACCATATTTTTCATAAGCAACCAGTAAAATGATGCACAATGTTAGGAAATATAGTACATGAGTTATTGTCAAGGATTTCAAATAAAAACAAGTGAAATGAACCAATAAACTAGCTTACTTTGCTTTTATAAGCAAATAAAAGAGAATAATCCAACTTAGGTAAAACCTTACACCTCAAGCTGAAGCTTGAATTTGGTGCCAAAGCTTGCTGAACTATCAAAAGTGACTGTCTGGGTTTGCCAAATCCTTCTATAGAACAGATGGAAACCATAAAATGGTTTGCACTTCATTTCAAAATTATTTTAATTTTCCCAATAAAAGTTATATTTAATTTTATATCCAGCCAGATATGCTGTTTCCAATGGCATAAAATCAAATAATTTTTCCTGATGCTCAGCATTATCTTTTTTCCTTCTTGCTGCACCATCAAAGCACAAAATATTAGGGCAGTGAAATAACACAAAGACAAAGTCAAGCGTGAGGGCAAGAAGAAAGAAAAGAAATGGCTCACCTCTTGAGCACACCATCCGCATTCAGGGCCCAGCTCAAGGCAGCTGGTGCACGATGCTGCGTTTGAAGAGATGCATCTATTGTATTCTGCAACACAGGACAAAATGAAGCTTAAAGGTTATTCTCACTGGGAAAGCAAACGGCCCCAACCAAAACGTATTTTCAAAACTGAAACAGGATGACCTCATATAATTAACAACTTCAATACAGTTTCTATTGCTCATGTAGATAATCAATATTTAGTTTTATTAAATTGGGGAGAGAGAGTAACAAACATGATTTTAGACAGATTTGAGGATTGGCTTGAATTCCACTGCCATATAACAAGATCTTCCAAAAGTTTTAGTGCATCCAGGTCTTGCTAAATTTCATATTCTCTGAACTGAGTAGGTTTTTTTTCTTTTGGTTCTAGAGGGGTTTTTTTTCTATAAAAAGGTTATTATAATTTTTACAGATACCAATCTTAACAAGTAAAGCACATTGCGTCATAATGAATGCAGCTTCTAAGAAATGATCTAGATGGACATTTTGAAAATTAAAGTGGAAACTGATTGTGTTTGTGTGGATTATTATTATTTTGCTGTGAACAGTATCAGAAACGAACATGATTCAGTATTTCAGAAGTGAAGTAGTTAAACCGAATGAATTGTTTGAATTAGTGCAATTTAATTTCTCAGACTGGATCTTTTGAAGGTCACTAACAATTTACTTTTCCATAGATACCTGTATCAGAATATATTTTAATAACACAATTATGCCAGCAAATAATTTACTTTTATTCCTGTATACATTAACTACTTAATGTTAAAATAAGCTTCATTGTTACAGAGTCAAATATGTAAGCTATCATAGAGCATGAGTCACATGGTATTTTATCGTGAGATTACAGTGAACAACACATCCTTTCCATGGTCTTTCCTTTACCATAAGCAGACCTAAGGACACTGGAAATCTCATGTCACTCTACCCACCTCACTCACAGGTGCACAGTAAATGAGATTAACATCCTGGCTCCACGTAACTCAAAAATAAAACATAGTGTGATAAGCCCAAGAGCGATCTCACCAAAGTACTACAGGAACCTGGAGGAAGGGGTTTCCCATTTTGCTTTAGAAGGAAGGGCAGGCGTCGGGGGAGAAGGGGGTCCTTCTGACTAAATGCAAGGCAGTGAGTGACAGCTGGTACCTCTCTCTGCTATATCCATTTGGTTCTTGTTAACTGCTTAATTGCTTTTAAAATGTAATAGGCATTAAAGAAAAATGTGTACGTGTGTATCTGTGTACACAATCACACATGGCATGGAACCTTAAGGGGTATAGAGAATAGCCTTATCCTGTTCCAGTTGGGTTTTTTCCCTTCTCTCTCTCTCTCTCTCTCTCTCTCTCTCTGAACTTTCCCCTACATTATGGAATCCAAGGTAAAGAGTTGCTAAGTTTGGCACGTTGTGGGTGTTGGCAGTGGGCAGAGGGAGAAAGGGAGCTACGGTAGAGATGCTCACTGGTGCAGCAGGAGCACCTGTTCCTGAATTTCCCCATGCCTGGTTTGGGTTAAGCTGAAAATATACTCCCCTAAACATCTTTGATGTCTTATTATTTATTTACTTTTTAATAAATGAGTCCTTTGTTATAAATAATGAAAGTTTATAAAATTGGAAAAGTAAGCAAATCTTCTCTTTGAACAAAAATTAAATACAGCTGCCCAAAGTAGCATAACACAGTTCCAAACACTTGGGTTTTCTCTTTACACAAAGGCACTAAATGGAAGCAAGCTGGTAAGGGGTGGGCAGTGAGGTGGCACTGAGGACTGAGACCAGGGCCTTCACACCTAGCTGTGCTCCTAGTCCTTTCTATGTTTATTTTTTTTTTTATTTTGATACGGGGTCTCATTGAGTCTCTAAATCGCCCAAGCTGGGATCTAACTTTGCTGCTCCCGCCTCAGCCTCCCAGAGTACTTGGATTACAGGCCTGTGCCACCCAGCCCAGTTCTGGCAAATTTTTGTAGCATTTCATTGTTCCTAAAAGCATGTCGCATTAATCCTTATTTAAATTAATCCTGATATTACAACACTCAAAATCTTTTTAATAATTAAATACCATTAGAATTCAACTTTGATCATTTGTGGAAATTTCCTTGTGAAATCAGTGAAAAATGTCCATGTTTACATATTTTACTCTTCAGGAGTCACCTCTAGACCTCTTGGATATATCACCCTTTCCTATGAAAATGTAAGCAACTCATAAATTCTCTGAATTTCAGTATTAAAATAGGAGTAGTTACTCATGCTCTTATATTTCATAAATTCTTCTAAATTTGTCATAATAACTTCCTTTTTTCAAGTTGAAATCAGATCCAGTTGTTTTTAAATTTTCTTTTTTCCTTATTTCTTTGAACTTTTTAAAATAACTTTCTTTTTCAGATTCTTCCTTCCATATTCCATCTCTTTGTTGTTATTGTTCTTTTGATTATGGCTGCTAATTCAGCTTTTAGTAATTTTCGGTGAACCGTCCAGTAAGTTTTAGAATCGTGGTTCAGCCCTTTAACAACAACAGTTTTATCCTGGCCTCTTTGCAAAATTTCTTCATTCAGATTCACACTAAATAGCCACCCTTATTAACTAAAAGATAGCCAAGAGTACTGAATTCTCCTTTCTGAGAATTGGAACCTTGGTAGTTGGGGATCTTTGAGTTATTTTTGTAACTATACCTTCCCCCTTCCTGCGAGTTCTACCCCAGCCAGTTTAACCAGCAAAACACCGCATGGCTCTTTTATCCATGAAGATATAATAGGTAAAGTGATGGGAATCACCTTCAATTTCTAGACCATTCTCAGTTGTAGGGTGTGATTTGTCCATATAGATTAACATTCTTTTTTAATGAATTCTACTAGAATATCTGAAGATCTAGTGAATTCTGATGTTAGTTGAACACTGCTTAGAAATAACATTATTCCAGTTATGGCCATCCCAGTGCTGATGTCCTGGAAGAGTGCAAGTGATCACCCACCCACTGCGAGACCCACGTTACCCTATTAGGGGCCGCTTGGTCTCATGCCCCGGGAGCCCTGCCAGGTTGGCGCCTTTCTGCCAATGTCTTATTATTTAATCTGCATCTTCTTGTATCCTTTGCCCTTGACTTTATATCATCTTTTCATATACATTAGCCACAGTTCTTCACTGATCTTTACTGAAAGATCTGGCCTAGAATTCTAGGAACTAAAAATAACTAATGTTTTGGCTCCCTTCGCTTCCAACTTGGCCACTTAAGTATAAAGTCTCCCTAGCCTAAAAATCTTCCATCTGCCTTGGCCTGCAAGATGTAAAAATTTCTTAGTCTAAAATACTCAGAGGAGTGAGTGCCATTTTTAGTTTTGTTCCCAGAAAAAAGCAATATAGGTCTAGAAATAAAGCACTCTGGCAAACTGCCACGGTCTGAATGCATCCCCTGAAAATCATGCTAAACTTGGTTTCAAGTGCGGTAGCGCCAACAGGTGCAACCTTCCGATGCTAACTAGGTTTTAGGGCTCTTCTTGTGAATGGGATGCAGGCCCTTGTTACACACAACCTTCACATAGTACTTGGCTCTGTTCTACCTTCTGCTCTTCTGCCCTGTAAAGGCAGAAAGCCCACAACAGATATTGAATGTCAGAACTTTATCTTGGATTCCCCAGCTTCCAGATCTCTAAGAAATTTGTATAAAGGTTAATGATTTAGCTCAAAGGTAGGGTGCCTGCCTAGCATGCACTAGGCCCTAGGTTTGGTTGCCCAGTCCTGCAAATAAAATAAAATAAATTTCAGTGGTTTATAAGTGATACAATGTCAGGTATTTTGCTATAGGAACATGAAAGGATTAATACACAGAGCTAACTTGACTTTTAGCAGCTGTGAAGCTTGGGCCAAGTGGAACATAAAGGGAGGACCATTTCAGTTCGTACTCTACCAAGCCCTTCTCTCAGCAGAACCTTTAAGGCCACAGTCTCATGGAAAGGAAGCTGCAGAGCTTCACATTCTGTTTCTAATGGTTGTTGGATTCTGTCCTCGCTGGACCCAGATGCAAGCTCAGTTTTGCCTCCTGCTTTCACAGCACACATGGTGCATAATAAATTAACAAACAAAATTGTTTCTCAATATTCGTTTTTGTTCAAAACTCCTGGTGTTACCCTCTGTTCTCAAACTGCAGACACCTAAATATGACTGAGAAAGGGTAGAGACTTTGGTCCTGTCAGTTTCCAGGTTTCAAAGCTGACATTTCTCAGAGTTTATGTAGCTACAGGAAAAAAAGTCCCATAAATGGATCTGGAAGAGGTAGGCTTTGTGGTTCTGCAGAACTGGAGGAAGGTCATAAATTGAACTCCTTGGGAACAGTGTCAAACATTGTTTCTAGAAAGTGTCACCATTACACTTTCCAGGAGACATGCCAGATACACTTTGACACAGCATTTAAGGATTTTCTTTTTAATTTTAAAATATGCAAGTGAGTAAAACACTAACATGCATATATTGCATCAATTATAGCAGTTCTTGTCACTGAATAGGCAGACTTCACAAGTGCTGTTAGGAAGCGTGCACTAAAATTCTCTCTGTGTGTCTCTCTGTGTCTTTTTCCTTCTCTCTGTCTCTCTCTATAGCAGGAATCTCTGCACTGCACACACATCAATGCAAAACTCCTGTTTACTGACAGTGGTATCTTCATCAGTCTCCAGATCTGCCTAGCCTATTGACCTTCCCATCCCTGTGCGAATATGTACATGGGAAGCCTACTTTGCAGTGGTGGTTTCCTAGCCGCTCTTGGCACCGCCCTGACACCTCAGGAGGGTGTGCGACTCAGTAGTTCTACTTCCTGTTCTACAATTGTGGTTGCTGCTGTTCAGTCATTTGTCCAACGATGCTTCATTAAATACTCTATTCTTAATTTTCTAGCATTGTGTTTTATGATGGATACTTTTATTGATTCTAATGAAAATTCTTAACACACTTGAAGAATATATATGTCTTCAGCGTCTCCTTGTGCCTATTTATTTTAATGCTTCATGCTTCATGTCACTGAAGTGTGTTAGCCTGAAAAATCAGTAAAAGATTCAATGGCCTGTTG